TGGGGGTACTTTTTCTACGCCTCGGCCTGGCGGAGAATTTTCCTTGAATTGGGGCACTGCACCTCTTTGAGTACAGTCTACTAATTTGAGCCCCCTTGAAAACAGTGTAAAATCAGCACTGTTTAGGGCCCAATAACATGCATACCAACATCCCTGAGATTAATGAAACACAAATGAAATTATTGTCTGGTCCCAATCTTTCAATTTCTTTTCAATTTTGTGTAGGTTATCAATTACATTTTTAATTTAATTATTCCCACTAACAAAATCACCCCCGAAAAGTGATTTTTCCGAAGTCTGATTGCAGCCATTTTTCAACTGGCAACCCTAAACTTTCTCAAGCACTTAGGAAAATTTTTCAACCGTAGTTTTTAACCATTCTGCTCTCATGTGAAAGCTCAAAGACCCATGCAGGGAATTGATCCAGGCAACGATTTGCACAACCTCACCATTCTGGGGCTAATCAATCTCTTTTTTCAAAAGATACTGTGGGGCACTTTTAATGCTAATGAGCTGCGGCCAGAAATTCTCACTTGAATTAGTGGACTGTACTGCACCCCTATGGTAGGAACTACTCTTGGCTGATTCACAAATGATTATGAAATGCACGCGCATTGGTTGTGTCACTACCAACGAAATGATCAATCCCCACTAACGTAGCTCTTTTCAACTGATGAGTGCTTGATAGGTGCTTCTGCTCAAGGCGGATAGGTCGAAAGTTTTCATTGAAGGGCACATGTTGAAAATGTAGATATCACAATGTGCCAGAATAATCGATTTCGTAATGCAATAACCATTTGTGGTATTTATTTTATACCCGCCAGGAAGGAAAGCCAGTGTTGTGGGCAGAGTCATCTACCACTCAGAAACAGCCGCCGTTGTCCCAGCTAAATACAAGCCCATCAAGCTCACATAGGGGTCACCAGTTCACTGCTGGCCCACCTCATTTTCCTGACGTAAATCCTGGGCCTACTCATTTCCTTCGCAAGGACAGTTTCCTAGTTAATACATGTACTACGCAGCGCTTGGCTGTACTGGATGTGAACCATCGACCGGCGGAGAATAGGCCAGGGATGACCATGCATTTCAGTACAGTCACGCCGTCAGAAGTACCATCGGTGCATAAGTCAAACGAGTTCGAACCAATCAACACTACGGCACCAATTCCTTACGAAATGCAACAAACTGTGCATTCAAGCAAGCACGCCAATACAACCACGCCAATTTACTGTCACCCCACAAAAACTGGGCTTGGCTCTGATCAGCCTGAAAAGCACTCGGTTAGCCAAACTACGACCCTGACACCTGTCACGCTATCTGCCATACCATCCCTCTGTCAGCCTGCTAATCAGACTGACTTATTAGTCTCAAACGCGACACAGCCATCTCCAGGACCACAGATATCATCCGTCACATCATACGCGGTCAGAGACAAAACCACAAAGAATCTGCTCTCCATTCACAACCCAAGCACTAATCGGACACCGCATGATCTGACAGTACAAACAGCCTCAACAGATCCACTGGCATCCATGTTGACTCACCACGCAAGGAGCATAAACTACCCAGCACCCCTCCCTAGATTTCCATTTGACCTGGATAAGACGTTGAGGTCATGTGCGGGAGGCGTGGCTATGTCTGTGCGTAGGAGGGTCATTCGAGAATCCGCTCGTTTTTATGTCAGCATCACCAAGGGACGAAAGATTAGTTCCAGTGATTATGTCAACATTGGACGTACAATAATTGGAAAATACCCTGGGCTTGCTTATGAAGATGACTATATACCATGGGTATTATGACAAACTTCCCAATTTTGGTTTGGTTTTCCTTTGTTAGCCTGTAGGCCTATACTGAATGTTTTCAATTCCATTACAGTTTGATACGGAGGGTGACGACTGAGAAAGAACGAGCTTCGACTTTTGATGAATAACACCTCATACATGCACTTGTGACATTTACATATTATTTACTGGGGACAAAATAACATGTTTGAAACAAACAAACAAACAAACAAACAAACACCCCAACAAACAAACAACCCAACAACCAACAAACAAGCAAACAAACAAAGTTTTTAATTTAAATTTTGTTTTATCGAAGTCTTTCCAAATGAAACTAGAAGCCACTCGAGCTTAGACTTGGAGTATACTGAAAAGAAGGGGGAAATAAGCAAATAATTGAACATTATTAATGACAGTGCGTTGCCATTCGAGTAGGGCCAACTGCGATCAGATGAGCTGGATTTAATTACAGTAATATTTATGTGAGATACTGGCTAACGATCCCTCGGTCAGAGAATGTGGGCTGGTGAAAATGTATACAAATAAAGGCGGTGAAATGTAGGTATATTACAAGATTTAGTCCGTGCAAAATGTTTCCTTAGAAATCCTTTTAGGGTAGACCGAAAGTGCGTTGTAAGAAATTGGTATAACAGAGAAGCAGTCGTGTGGTATTATGTTTTCTTCACGGTTAAATCTATCTTTCAAAGGCCATTAATTGCTTCTGTTTCTTCTTTTGCTCTGCAGTTTACATTCAACAAGCGCTTAAGCCAATCCATCCGGAACCTCCGTCGACGTCTCAAACAAACCAACGACAAGTCGATGTACGACTATCTGGACTCTATGGAGGGTCCCCTGCCTGTCCAAGTCATCGCGTTGGATGACGGAGAGGACTCTGAGGATGGCAAGGGTGTGGACGATGTGATTGAAGACGAAGGGGGATACGGAGAAGGGGAGATTATTCTCATCAAAGATGAGACACAAGCATGACTCAAGACAAGTAGCTATGAAGAAGTGCTTAATTTGTAATTTTTTTTCACTCAACTGTTAAAAATGGTTCTGGGCGTCAGTCACTGCACCAACCAGAACTACTGTCATCCACGCCGCTTGACAAGCAGTCACGCCTTTGCTCGTCGCACAGCATCACATGTCATTTCCGTAGCTAGGGCATTTCCCAAGGAGCAACCATTTTCACAAACAGCTTTATCTGTCCTTGGTTGCTGGCAATTATCACTGCTAAGTCGTTGCGCCTTTTTACCTATGTTTGTACATGTACAGAGGATATGCCGGCAGCATTTCTTCCGCAGGGATACCCATGAGTAGACCTTTTCTTTAAAGTCCCCCTAACAAACGCACTGACAGGGGAAATGACTGTCGTGCATAAGCTCTATATTCACGCTGCTGATACCAATTAACCATTCTGTAGTAGTAGGGAACGGTATTTTCCAGACAAGACATTCCTTCCCATTCTCAGGCCAGGAGGAACCAGCAGGGGCCTTCCCCAATCTAAGGAATTCCCCCAAATGCTTGCGGCCGCACACAAAATTTAGACACAACTTACGGGACAAAAGGGACTTTCCAAAACTCGTGACCTAAAAGGGACTTGCCCCTTTTCACGAGACCTTTGACCTTCAAAACCTAAAAAAGGAACTGTTCCGCTAACTCATGACTTCCTCGTGATTCCCAAACACAAAAGCGGAATCCCGCCCCCCCGACTTTCCACTTTCGGAAAAAGTAGCTCTACACCGAACGCTCCGAGAAAAAATGAAATAAATTTTTAAAATGTATATATAAATAGAGATATGAATAGAGAAACCAACCCGCAACGCTGCCCTGTCTTAGCGGTCTTTAGGCGAGTGAAAAAATCGTTTCTAGCTGACTTTGTCAAACGATATAACATTACATTACCGCCACCCGCTAAAAAAAGTCATTCAAAGCCCGAGCTCATGAAAGCGATTCAAGAGAGTCAATGGCAATTTAGAAATCTCACGAGACAATCATATCGTCAGCTTTTAAAAATAGCGCAAGACAACAACATAGAATATACGGCCTCGGGGACAAAAGGAAAAATATTGCGAACAGACTTGGTCACCGCGATTAAAGCATACATTAAGCCGCAGGCAATTGAAGAAGTAGACATTTGAAGAATTAGGCAATTTAGAGGCAACTATAGAGATTGGGAACTGATACGTAATTTCTTTGCCGACGACTTGATTCACTTTTTTGATTTTTACAAAAAGTACATCGAAGACAAAGCACTAGCCGAGTTTAAAGAAATCGGTTCATACAAGTTACAAACGGGAATAAATGTTCAATTCAAAATGGAAAAGCCCGGAATCGAGACTAAACTCGGCGTTTTACATTTACTAGTAAAAACAACGCGGTCTTTTTTCTAAACAAACAATTAAAGAATCGTTAAACCAGCAAATTGCAAAACGTCTAGAGGACGCGGAAGCTCATGAACAGAGAGGATCTGGCTGGATGTTTGCTAAAGTAGTCGCGTTTTACATAAACGTGGTTAAATATAATCCAGTCAGGGCTACTTACATTCCGTGGCCAAAATATTTGGCAGTAAAAACTGCAATGATCAACGTTCAAAACAAAGAAGATTAAGAATGTATTCGCTGGGCGTTGAGAGCTGCTTTGAAGTTATATTCAGATTACGTAAAGCATCAGTTGGAAATCAATCCAGATTATAAAATACACGAGGAGCGCACCTCGACTTACACGACAGCTGACGACTTAAATTTCGCAAATGTATACTTTCCAACAACCGTGTAACAAATTCCACGCATCGAATCGCAGAATAACTTGGCAATTAACATATTGGTTATACAGAGAAAGAAGGCACTTACGTGCTTTACAAAACTAAACGCGCTGACGAGCCAATTAATTTACTGTATTTTACTAAAGGCGAAACGAGTCATTATTGCTGGATCAAGAGCTTTTCTCAATTAATGTGCGACGCTACTGAACACACAGCGAAATTACACTGGTGTTTCAAATGGCTGTCTCACTTTCAAACGCAAGAAAGACTAGACAGGCACCATATAGACTGTAAAGGGATTAACACAGCAGCGTGTAAAGTGGAACTACCAGCCAAAGGCAAAATATTCTCAAACTTGAAAACTATAAAAACAAGCAGGATGCCCCCCTTCGTAATCTACGCAGATTTCGAATTTGTTTTGGAGCGTTTGCCACCAAAAGAATTAAACACGGTTAAAACACAAGTTCATAAACCATTCGGGTATTCATATGCAGTTGTCAGATGTGACGGCATTTGTACCAGTCGCGAGACCTACAGAGGCCCCGACGCGGCCTTTACATTTGTAGAATCGTTGTCTAGAGAGGTCGCCGAGATCTAGTCTGGTCGCACGAGTTGCAAAAGATCTACGAAAACTGTAACGCTACTGGATCTGCGAAAGACGCATCGTTTCAACCAAAGAATCACAATGCCGGTGTCAAGTCCCGGATGAGCCGAAACCAAAGAGCGAAAAAGCCGCTTTTAGTTCAGTAAACGAACGAGGTTTCAGAGACTACATTTGTATGACTTGTGAAAAGCCCATCAATAAATTTTGCAATTGTAATGTCAAGTTACGAGTAGTGCCTGGTCAAACATGTGTTTCCGTAGTGCTGCACAACTTGGAAAAATACGACGCGCATTTAATTATGCAGGGTGCTCAAGCGTTTGACGACAGTAAAATTAAAGTCATCGCCAAAAACACCGAAAATTATACCTCGTTTAGCTTTGATCAACTCAGGTTCCTAGACTCGTTTCATTTCATGGCAGCCTCACTCAATCGATTGGATTAAAAATTGTTTGCTCAAAGATATCCGCCTGCTCTTTGACGGGTTTCCAGAAAACAGGGGTTTACTTTTAGGAAAGGAAATTTACCCATACGAGTATATCGACTCGTTTGATAGATTTGAACAGACAAGCCTGCCTCCTCGAGCTGCTTTTTATAGCTCGTTGAGGCAGCAGTCCGTTGCAGAATGAGACTACACAAGGGCTCAAAATGTGTGGCAAGCTTTCGGTTGTCAAAATATCGGGATTATCACGATTTAAACGTCGAGACAGACGTATTGTTACTAGCAGGCGTATTTGAAAACGTTCGCCAAGTTTGCAAAAACCATTACGGTTTGGACCCGGCCAATTATTATAATTCGACTGGATAATCGTGGGATGCATTTTTAAAGCACTCTGGCATCGAATTGGAGCTTTTGACCAACTTTGAAAAGCACCTGTTTTTCGAAAGGGCCAAAAGAGGCGGCATTTCGAGCGTAGAGGCTAAGCGCTATGCCAAAGCAATAATCCCGAATTAAAAGACTACGATCCAAATAAGCCAACGTCACATATAATGTATTTGGACGCGAATAATTTAAACAGCTGGGCTCTGATGAGTCGTTACCCTTTAAACTTTTTCGATGGATTCAAGACGTAACAAAATTTACCCCAGAGTACATTTCGAAAATTTCCCCCAAAGCGTCTAAAGGCTACATGCTAGAAGTGACTTTGGACTATCCAAAACACTTACACGACAAACACAACGATTTCCCACTGGCACCTGAAAACATCTCGATCCCCAACGACTGGTTCTCAGTGTATCAAAAAGACTTGATAGCCAACGGTGAGCGAGTTACTTCGATAGGCAAGCTCGTATCCACTTTGAGCACCAAACACAAATACGTAGAGCACTATCGCACGTCACAAAAATATCTGGAACTCGGTCTAGAATTAAAACAAGTTCACCGAGCAATGTCGTTAAACAGGCGCCTTGGATGAAAAGTTATATCGATAGAAATACCGAGATGCGTAAATTAGCCAAGTCTGATTTTGAAAAGGACTTTTTCAAATTCATGAATAACTCGGTCTAAGGCAAGACGATGGAAAATGTGCGTTACCGCATGGACGGGCATTTACTGAGAGACCTTCACGACGCTGACAAATACAAGAAGCTAACTCTTAAACCAAATTATAAAGCGACTACGCCGTTTAAGGAATGTGATCTTTCATTTGTCGAAGTGTTTCGCATAAAAACAAAGTTAAATAAGCCAATCTATTGCGGTGTAAGCGTGCTAGACTTGTCCAAGACTTTAATGTACGATTTTATTACAATACGTTAAAAGCGGCTTTCGGTTCAAACGTCTGTTTATTATACACTGACACGGACAGCCTGCTCGTTCAAAAGTACGTGCGCAAAAAGCGCAAGTTGTTTGACTTAAGCAATTATCCAACGGATCACCGGCAAGATGAAAGACGAATTTGGAGGTGAACTGATATCAGAAGCAATCTGCATTAGGCCAAAAATGTATTCGATTTTAACCGAGCACCAAAATTTGAAAAAGGCTTAAAGAGTTACAAAAATCGTAACGCAAAAACGGTTGTCGTACGAACACCGTATTTGAAAAAATGCAGCATTTTAATAAACAGCAGCTTTTCAGGTCTGATTAGCATCTGCTATTCACGGTGTCGCAAAAAATAAAAGTCTTTCGGCCCTTGGACACAAAGCGTTATGTATTACCAGACGAAATTGGCACTTTAGCTTATGGACATTATCAAGCCTTTCAAGCCGGCAGTAATTCGGTGTCTTCGGGTATCACTTGAAGTTCCTCTCTCACGAAACTTCGCTTTGGACCGTCTAATAAGTAGGACCCGTTTTCACGCGCTTGCCATTGACCCGTTTAAATTGACTCTTGCGTTTCTCAATTTGATAAACGTTTACAGACCAGACTGGATCGGTAGCCTTTTGACGGTACCGCCTTCTTGCTTGCCTGGATAAGATAAATATCTAACTAACACGTCTGGGGGAAGTTCTTTTTGGGTTTCCCTAAGAGGTGCTGCAGGCGTTTGTTTCACTCGATTCAACTTGACGGCTTCTGCGGGTTCTTTGTCAATTAACTGAGTTTTTTCCTTGTTAAGTGATTTTATTACTTGAGGCAGGCGTTTCACCCATTCCACGTTTCTAACACCAACGTTTAACATTTCTTGCGCGTATTGATTGCCAAATAAACGCTCGGCTAAAGTGGGATTATTAAACCGTTTTACTATTCCTTGCGATTGCTGTACGCCGGGTTCACCCACTTGAATTGCTACCCCGTGTTTTGTCATCAACTTTTTAAATTTGCCGTTAAATTCCAATCCAGCGTCTATGATAAACTTTGGCCAAGTCAGAGGCGACCTTTCGTAAATTTGTAAAGGACATCGAAGCTCTAACTCCTCAAGACCAGGAAAAGCTTTTTAATTTATACGAAGTACGCTTCGGGAAAGAAATCGTCATTACTTTGGGAAATGCGATTCTAAGTTTATACACGCGTCTTTTAGGCATTGCTGCACCCATAGAATTTTTAGGCTTCAACGTAGATTTGAAATCGGAATAAGACCTAACCAAAGATTTAAACGACTCAATTATAAGTCAAACGACGAGTCACTTCTTGAGCGAGCCTGTTACAAACATGGAATTTATCTTTCACCCTTGGTAGCCACTTTAATTACGACAAAAACATTTAACCACCAATAAAATCAGTGTATTATAAAATAAGATGTCAACAGAACTACAGCAAACGACAGCACCGACTCCTGCCCTGAGTCCGGTAAAAAGCCAGGTACAGACGGTAACCAAAGTTAAAAATCTAAAGCGAGTAGAACAGGGGAAACGCCTAGCCGAACACAATAAAAAGATGAAACAGCAACTGGCCAAGATGATATTAGGCGAGTCCGAAGCCGAAATAAACTCGGAAAATAAAATTTATAAAACCGTTTCGGAAAATAGAGATTCAATTTTAGGCGGCTTGGCAGTTGGGACACTTGCATTATTTTTCATTTAAAAAAAACAAGTCAACGCCTGCAAAAGCTCAAATGACTCAAGCAACATCAAAAGTTCAAACGACTGTACCAGCACCCGAAATTTAAGACTAAGAAATTTTAGACATGGAATAAATTTTTAAAATTAAGTTTAAAAAACCTATATATTAAGAATGAGTAACGCTAAAGCTATAGACGTAAATGGCATCGCCAATACGGTTTACCACGGCGCCATAGTCAGCCTAATCTCCATGGGTTATGCCATGCTGAGCAATAAGCTATTTAAAATTAAACCGCCAGATTTAAATAAATTATCGGTCGAAGACGCGATTAAATTCACGGCAGTGTCAAGCGGTGCATTATATAGCCACGCAGGGCTGGCTCGTATCGCAGGGCATCTTGCCGGCGAGTTTACCCACCACTTAAAGTCAAAATAATAACCGGTTTATTTTAAAGTAAAAGTATTATGATGGCAGAAGGCGGATTTGACACAGTAGAAATTCAAACTGTTAGACAGGAAAAGCAAATCAAGACGATTCGCAAGACCTGGCCTTATTTAATACAACGCAAACGGAAACGCCGTTTTGAAGAAGAGGGGTTATCTTTACCGTTGCTCCAGATGTACCTTTTACTGTTGCTCCAGATGAGGAACGAGAGACTTTTGAAACTTTAGATATTGAAAATCGATACGATAAATTAGTTAAAGATGTAGACCCCCTACGCGAAACAGACCTTGCAAGACAAGTCAGGCTAATGGAACTTAAACGGTTGTTTGTTGAAGATTAAGTGGATGATTTCTATGACGCTATTGAAAAAGAAACTGGTTACGAGCCGTTAAATAGAGATCCAAAAATATTTAATCTACTTTAAAGATCGTCTGTACGTCAAGTGTGAAGGTAAAAAGTTCTCCTTACGTATGAAAAAGACAATAGTCGATTTCTTAGTCTAGAGACAATCAGGAATAAAACAAACGTAGATTTCATAAGACGTGCCTTAGGTTTCCAAGACTACGTAACCGATAAAACAAAAGCAGAAAAGAAGAAATTGGTCGAAAACTCGCGCAATTGCACCCCAAAGGCATAGAATTAATAGAACTACCCCAAGAAGCCGAAGGCGCCAAATATAAATCAGGCGAGACTACAAAATTTAAAGGCGTTTTTGCATATTGTAACAAATCTTGAGATTGGTTAATCGATTGTTCCAGGTCAGGCTCCGAGTTTATTAAAGACTCTACTATGGTAATAAACTACCTTTGAGCGTCTTATCCGGTATCATGGGTTAAAGCGCAGTTCTTTGTTTGAGCCTGAGCTCCAAGTAACGCGTAAAACGTAAGCTCGAATCGACTCGTTTACCTTTGTTATTCCCACGCCTGTCAAGCTTGATTTCTTTGGTATAAAATCCCACCAAGCCAACGTGACTGTGTCCGACAGCGAAATCCAATTTACGGTGTAAGTACTCGCATGACCAGAGCCTTTAGGCGGTTTAGCCCTACCAAGACCCATGTAAGTGGATCCTGCATATTTGCCATTTGTCACATGTAAGTCGTGCGCGTCGTAATTTACCGGAAACCGGTATTATAAGCGTCGTCGTAATAATAAGCCGTGCCTAGTCCGTTTGATACGTTGTCCCTCGTTTGTTTAAAAGATTGATTTTGATAATAGACAAGTGTCTATAAATTTGCGATGATTTTAATTGTCGTCACTCGGAATTGCCTTCCCGTAAAATCTGTCCACGAATTTCTTCAATCTTTTGAAGCAGGTAAATTTTTGTCGCGTTTGATTCGGTTTGATACCCAGTTAAATCTGGATACATATTTGGCTGATTATCTGTCGTCATCTTTTAAAATATACGTGTTTTTAAAATGTCTTCCTCGGCACGGTTAAATAGTCTAACTGTAGTAAAATTGTGCCGTCTTTGTTGTTTATCAATTCTTGTCGCCTTGTTTCTCAACAAAAAAATGTAATCTCGTTTTCTGACCGTTTAAAACTGACTTGGCGCTTTCACTCGGGTCTGATGTGGTGCACAATACATACGAGGGCTGTTCGTTGAAGAAATTAAAGTGATTGTTTATTTCACGGCAGTGTATCCAAAGTTCGTCAAAGGGATTTATATTTATCTTTCCCTTGTAAATCACGTTTTGCACGAGTCTACCTTTCGGCAGGTTTAAAAGCTTGCCGACTTTTACTCAACTTTAATCTGAGTTTTAAATCCGTTATCATAAATGTCACCAAGTTTGACTTTTCGTGAAGTTTAAAACTCACGCCGGGAAATGGGTTTAAAATAAAATCAAACTAATCCACATTGTAAAATCCGGGTGGAATGACTACACTTCCTTGTTCTCCAGCGTTCACAAAATCTGCGGCGTTTCTCATTTGTGCAGACGATGCATCACTGCAGCGTTTGAACCAGAGGCCGTAACTAAAAGTGTGGGCCTGGGTTCGGTTTGAACGGCTCTGATGTGCCTAGTTCTGTCTTCGGTGTTGTCGCCTAAAAATCCCTCTTGAATAAATATTAAAGCGATGCGACTGGCTTGTTCATAAATATCAATTTATGCTCTGGTTACAAGTATAAGATAAATTAGCGCGTCGTCTTTCTCTTTATCTGTTGCTTCGGCTGATATTTCTCCTCTTGAACGTTGATTGGTTAATGTTTGTTTTTGATTGATTGTTGAGAGTGTCTGTCTCTAATTCTGAGAACGGCACTGTTAGTTCAAGCGCTTTTATAACATCTTTGTTGATAGATGATACCTCTAGCGTTGGAGGCAGTCCACGCCTTTGTCTAACTCCTTCGGGCCCCCTTGCTGCAGGACGCCATTCTCCTTGCGTTTCCCATTCAATTTCGGTCGACTTTGTATTGTTAAAATAACCCGGGCAGAAGCTTACTTTTCTGACTTTAATCTTTTTATCGCCTTTTAAATTGTCGATTTGATTATCTAATTTAAACATCTGCTCGCTTTCGGTCAAATAAAAAGTGTCAGTCTCCATTTATAGTAAAAGGGTTTTTAAAAATCTTGCTCGGCAAGTTGAAATTTGTTAACGGCGTTGTCCCAGTGTTTCTCGGAGACTTGAAACAGGTCTTTTGCGGCTTTTGTGGGTTCTTTTGTCACGTCTTGGTAACAAACGGCAATTAAAGCTCGTAGCGGCTTGCCTCTGGAATTTTTGCCTGCTAATATGTTGTTTAATTTATATTCGACGAGTCCCGCCTGTTCGGCGGTTAAACTCTATGTCAAGTCCATGAAGAATGTTACTTGTTTTCCATTTTGGCTTTTTATAGTCGAAACGTTGATTATATTTGCCGCCTATGTTTTCTGCCTCGTCCAAATAAATGCGACATGATATAGGTTTTCCCGGCTGAATTATTTAAAACAGCATCCAAATTCATTGACCTTCGAGCGATTTCTCGAAGCCTGTTACTCCCATGGTTGATTTTCGAAACTTTGCGCATTCAGTTTTGTTTGTGGACGTTCAATCTTGCACTTTCAAGGATTCAGTTTAGTAACAGTATCATTCAATGTCACGATGCACAAGCGTCACTCAATTTCGCCCTGGGTGACTGGGAGGTGGATTCCTACACAAATTTTACTTTCATATCCGTCAATGGGCACTCATATTCGCAATTTCAGCTTTTCAAAGTATACGTAAACCCTAAGTATTGAAGAAAAGATAGAGTTTCTGTATAATTATGATACGTGTACAGTTCCAGAGACATCTTGATCGCTGGCGATATTTGCCCTGGATCTTTATTATTCCCAACCTTTTCATTTAACTTATACTTGTATACTTTTGTTCTGTTAAATGCTTATGGGGATAATATCGTGTTGTTATTTTTTTTTAAGTTGAAAATTTCGGATTACATGAAACCAATTTTGTTCTTTCTTTTTATAAATCTTCAAGCAGGAAATATACGAATTATAAGATGACTGCTGAAAAGATTGAGTATTTGGTCATTGTTTTAACAATCATTTTAACCAGATAAGAAGAATTTGATCATTTCTTTTTCTCGTTTTAAGCAGAAATAAAGACGTACATTATAGACAAGAGGTTCTCCCACCAAGGTGATTCTAGTGTTAGTGTATGTTCTTCTGCGAGTTAAACCCCTCTTCAAACATTTAAAATTTGTAAATTAGACTTTGATGAAAAACATTGCCCCGATGTCAGAACTTGCTTGCCTATTCACGAAATTGCATGCCTATTACGAGTACCACAAAGTGACCGTGCGAATTTGACTTCTGTTCTTGGGGTTTCCTAAACTAAATAGCGACTCAAACTTTGCTGTTTAACAGGAATTTGCAATCGCGTGCTCATGGAGTTAAAGTTAAATTGAATGATTATTTTGGCTGATTGAACGTTGATCTGGATCGTCAGTCAATTTCGCGCTAAATTGAATGAGCCTGAAGTTAATTGGAGCGCCAATTTCAAAAAGTTGGGCGGGAAAACCTATACTAGCCCGCAATCTCGGCAGACGAGTTTATAATCTATTCCCATTCTATTGGTGTGTGGGCAGGTGTCTTCTTTGCCCGTGATTGTTATTTATTTAAAGGACGTAAATTAACCTCAGTTATTCCTGAGAATAACTGGGGTTTGAAAATTGTACTTGGCTAATTCTTAAATCAACCTTTAATTTCACGAGCGTTTCCAATTCGGCTTCAGATTCAGATTCGTGAAGGTCAAATCTTATAAATGCTTGTAAGGCCGATTTATTTGAAATTATTCCGTCATTTCTAACTTTCAACATGGCCGTTGAGACAGTATATCTAACGCTGGCGCCGCAAGAAAGCGAACAGTGAGTTCCATAATCCACGTCTTTTGGATAAATGAATGATTGTGCATCGCATCTTTTTATTTATAAATTTCTCGATATTTGACGAGTTGATGGGCCTCTTTCTATGGTCAAATAACGAGGCATAAGAATCAATTTTAACGTTTATGCGATTTTTGTCTGTATAGGGCGGTTTAACGACGTATTCAATCCTATTTAAATCGTCGATATCGCGACTGGCTTTGTAATCGTTTATCGTGCATGACGGTATGAAAGACCAGGTATTAGCCTGTTTTTCAAATTTGGCGACCTACAACGTTTTCGGCAGTTTCATCCCGCGTGCCATATTTATACACGGGATTTATGCCGTAACAGGTCGTGTCTGACATATAATTAACAGGCGTTTTTCTAGCCCTTCGTGCGTATAATAAATGGGAGAGGAGCATTGAGTTACTTGACTGCCCTCTTTAATCACAGAATTTGTGAAGGTTAATTTGCTTGAGTCAAAAAGACTGTATGTGACATTGGGATCGCTATTGTTGGCTTTGAGACGCTCGTAGTTGTCGTTACGATGTAAATTTGAGTTGACATGGTTCTGATTTTTCAGCTTTACCAGAAATTTTCTCATTTTTATTTGCCCAATCGGTCGTGTCTATTAACTCGGGTGGAATTTCTACTTTAAATCTTCGACGTCAACGTCATATTCAATTGTTAACCCAATTTCACATAAATCAGAGTCCAGTCTAGACGCAGGATTAGGCAGTGGTTTATCGTCTCTTTTGTGCTTGCCGTTCACGAGTACCACGTGATCCATTCCTTCCAACTCAACACAAAGGATGACTTGCGGCGACGAAACATGATTTTATGCCGCACTTTTTGTGCACGAAATTTTCTTTATGTTGGGCAGTCAAACAGTCCCACAGTCATCAATCTTATGTTATGTAACGTGACTGCAATGCTGGAATAATGTTCTATTGTAAGACTGTGTGTTGTTATCTTGGCGATTAACGCAAATCTGACTTGCAGTTTATTTATTCCATTTCTTTACCCAGGGTAGGCCCTAACAGTTACAAACTGTTTTCCATTGGGGCCCTGCGATCATTACAAGTTAGCAAAATACATGTAGTTAGAAACTCACAGCGAAAAGTAAAATTGAAAAATACGACAAACATGAATATTTGCAAATACAAAGCACTAAAATATCATACACATGTGAACATTTAAATTTATCAAGGCATTAATTAAATACTGATCACGGGATGGGCGAAAACCCTTCAAAAAACCCTTTGGGAAAAAAGAACACGGGGAAATTCCCGATCCGACTCCAGTGAACGTTGGCAACCAAGTTTACATCTCCATAGAAAGATTTTACATTAGCGCCGTCTACACACATCCGCATCGAAACCGAGGATCTCTGTGTTGAACTTCCTCACGCACGCCCGCGGAGTCGACACAGTACGTAATGCAATGTCTGGTTCGTAAGTGTGATGCCACTTCAGTTTAAGTCACGCCCACTGCACATGCAGATGCACGACCATCGCAGGTACGTTAGTTCGCGGTACATTGCCGTTATTCTTTCTTTGATTTTACGTGTCGAGTCATCCTGAAAGACTTTTCCACAAAACTTTGCAGACTGAAAAGTCTGAATTTAACATACCTTTATGTATTTTGTGTTTTGACTCCTTACTTTCAATCGTCTGATCGTCTTAAGAACTGAAGCTGACACATACAGCCTCGTTTTCAAACGCGGAAGTGCGTAGATCGACGCTAAAAGCGTCGTATTGGGATCCCTGTGTAGATCAGCATTTTAGACTACACAGCACTGGTCATGGGTTTCCGTAGTTTTTATTTGAATGTCCCTAAGGAGTGTATACTTCTGAGTTGCTCTGGCAAATTGTTCCATGTTTTTGCACCACTCACCGCAAAACGTTGAGCGTAGCATTCTTTTTTGGATAAAGGGACTTATAGTATCTTGTCAACTGAGTAGCTTGTTTCGCGAATCCGTGTGAATGGCATAAACAGATTTGTCATATACATAAAGTCAATTTGTTCAGACATTTTAAAACAAGACCAGTCTTTTTAGATCTGTCTCGGAAATGGTACCCAGTTCAGTGTAGCAAATATATTCGCTGAGGGGGTGAGAGGGGTGCATTTGAGGGTTATCAGTGCAGCTCTTTTTAGACATTTGTTAAGAATGGTATCGTGGGATATGTATCTTCCTCCCATACCGTGCAACAGTATTCTAAAGTTGGGATGACTAAGCTAATGAAAAATGTGTGCAGGCTACTTTGTCAGACATTGTTCCAGATTCTGTTTATCGTGCCTAATTTAGATAAGACTTTTTTCTGACGTAATCAACATGTGGGCCCCAACTTAGTGTTTCGTCAACAATAACTCCCAATTTGCAAGATTTTTCTTTGACAATTAGGCTATCAGCATTGTAGAGGTTCAATTCTGTATTGAAGGTTTTCTGCCTTGAGCCAATAAGCATGCATTTGGTATTGTTTGTATTTAGTTCAAGTTTGTTTCTTGAACACCAATGTAGAATTCTGTCAAGAGCCTCATTCAGATTCCTTTATATTTTTAATATTAGAAGAGCTACACGTTAGAGTGGATTCATCTGCATACATATACAAGTTACAATTTGGCGGGATACAGGACGGCACATCACTTGTGTAAATAATAAATAAAAGCGGTCCTATTGAACCCTGTGAGAAACCAACGATATTAATAGCAGAACCTTTGATATGTTACCCTCAATATTTACCGACTGAGTACGATCGCTTAGGTAGGATTTAAACCGAACGATTAGTGGAGTAGACATGTTAAGCCTTTTCAATTTCCAGAAGAATTTCATGGTCAGTACGATCAAAATGCTTTACTGAGATCTATATATACACTGCCTGTAACTTCTCCTTGCTCTATAGCCTGGACACACCTATTTGTCAAATCGTGTAGAGTGGTTTCAGTTGAGTGCAAGGGTCTAAATCCTGACTGGTAACTAGGAATAGGTTATTTTCTTCAAGGTAAGCGTATACTGACGAGTGCACTCACCTGTCCAAAATCTTAGAGACAATCGGCAGTATCGAGATTGGACGATAATTGCTTGTGCTACATTTGTCTTTTTTCTTACGAATTGGTGTCACCAGAGCATGTTTGCAGTCTTTGGGATATCTCCCACATGTGATGGAGGGGTTAAAAATATGAATTAGACATTTGGTAATACACGGGGGAAGCCATTTTGATAATTTTAACACTTATATCCCATCCGGACTTGTTGGTTTCCCTACTGACATTTAGGAATTCATCGTCGAGGGAATCGTAGTAGGGGCATCAGCATTATCGTCATTATTTTCAGGCTCGTACAAGGGACCATTGCCACCTTTTATGCGTTTGTTTTCCAACTGTAGAAAAATGTTTACTAAATATCTCAGCAATGTCAATAGGATCGTCAATGTCTTCTCCATATGGACAAAGGGTGGAGTTTGGAACACTTTTTTTATTCTTCGGGAGAACCTCCTTTAGCTTTTTCCATAACATACATAAATTGCTTTTGTTCTCCTCTATGGCTGACGTGAAGTATTCACTTTTCCTGTGATGTATTTTCTTAGTCACCGTGTAACGCAGTTTTGTGTAAGAATCCCAATGTATTTGTGACCCTGTGCATTTGGCGATTTTGTGCGAACGATCACGTTGCCTCATAAGTCGAAGGATTTCCACATCAAGCCAGTGTAAGGAGGTACCCCTAATGCGTTCAGTTTTAATCGGTGCGTTGAAATTGATAATGTTCATATAACCCAAGTCTGAAGCCCCAATAAACCAAACAATGTCCTTTTCCTCTTAAATGCAAAGGATATTGTGGCGCCGCGCCCCTCCGACGAAGGCGAGGGCGCCCTCCTCCTCGAGGTGCGGTGCGTCGGACGGCACGCCGGAGAGTACCTGAGCGGCTAGGGACGAGTCCGTTGGGACCGAAGTATAACGTCCCCCAAGAAAGTTGGTCTTCGTCGAGATGATGGCTAATCTGATTGGTCGAAACTTAATGACGTAACCTGGACAGACCTGACTTGAAATGAACTTCGCCTGGACTCCTGACTTATATACAATAATTAACAAGCGGCTGGTGTATTCATCAACACACCCAACCAATACACCAGTAGAGGGCGCTATTGACGGGGAAACTGCGTGATTATACGTGACTGGACTTTGCCCAGAGCAGCGAACACCACAATTAATTGTGGGCATCCAGTGCCAAATCAGGGACTTTAGCAAGTCTACGGGGCTTATTGTCAGGGCTG